AAGCCGTAGTTGGTTGTTTCGCTGCTGCAGGTTGCAGTTTGAAAGCTATACCAAAACTAATGGATCTGCATGTTTATAGGTTACACCCAGATACCAAAAAGGAAGACGTACTAACGTTTGTTAAATCTCATTTTCCCGAAGCAAAATGCGAGGAACTGGAAGCTAAACACAAAGGCGAATATTCATCTTTCAAGCTGTCTGTATATGCTGACAATTTCGGAAAAGCCCTGGATCCCAACATCTGGCCTGTAGGAGCATGTGTTCGCAAGTTTTTTCATTTTAAAAAAATTAACGAGTAAAGCGGTAGTTAGTGATAGCTATTTTTCAATTTTCCATTTAAATGTACAATCGATTAGGAATAAAGTTGATGAAGTAGAGGTAGTTTTACATAACATTGAAGAATCTTATGATGTTTTATGTTTTACAGAACATTGGTTAACAAACTATGAGTTGGATTTATTAAAATTGGGTAGTTTTAAGATAGCCTCTGCCTATACCAGGAAAGATAAAGGTTATGGCGGTGTTGTGATACTAGTAAACGATAAAATTAAATACCAAGTTATTGATGTTTCAAAGTTTTGTAATGTAATTGACATTGAGCTTGCAGCCATTAAAGTTAATAAACCCAAACTAGTCATAATAACTGTATACAGAGCACCAAAAGGCAATCTGGAAGTTTTATACTCTAATTTGACTAATTTATTTAATTTTATCAATATAATCGATTCAGATGTTATTATTAATGGAGACTTTAACATACATTTTGAACGCAAAACCAAACAGACTCTAGAGTTCCTTAACTTTTTAAAATCATATAATTTGAGACCTCTAATCTTTGAGAACACGCGAGCAAATTCGTGTATTGATAATATACTTACAAATATCGCACATGATTGTAGGCACCAGGTCATGGAGACTCATTTATCGGACCATCGTGCTGCTACTGTAGAAATTCCACATAATCGTCATAAGTCAAAAGACTGCTCGAAAGTTGTATCATATCAACCTTTTACGGAAGTAGGATTCTTTAATTTTTTTAATATTATTAGTGATTGCAATTTTGATTTTATCAATGATGCTGGACTTGATACAAATACCAAATTTAACTTATTCACCAAATTAATTTCTGATAAAGTAAACATGGCCTTTCCTATAAAAGTAAAAAGAATAAAAAATGTTAAAAAGGATGATATTTACTGGTATGATGAGAAATTACATAAAATGAAACAAAATGTAGACCTGCTACACGAATTACACAATCAAAATCCTAATGACCCAACTTTTGTGACCTATTTTCAAAAATATAGAGAATTGTTTAGAACCGAAGTTAAGAAATGAAAAAAAACCTTTAATGACAACCTAATTAAAAATTCTACTAATGTAGCAAAGGACAGCTGGAAATTAATTAATAGCAAACGATTAGCTAGTAGCAATAATTATTCAGAAAAACTGACTGCGGAGGACTTCTCTACATTTTTTGGTGATATCCCACATAATTTGGAGAATAATTTAAAATTATCAAATACGGATCCAATTCAGCTAATGCACAAAAATTTGACTCCGGTGAACTCTGTTTTCAATTTCAGAGAGATAACATTTAATGAAGTAAGAGATACAATTGATTCCATCAAAAAAAAGAAAAGTAAGGACTACTACAACATAAGTATCACCATTGTTAGGAATATTAAGAATCTCATTCTAGTTCCACTCACAAGATTGATCAATCGGTGTATTAATGAAAATCTTTTCCCATCCTGTCTCAAGGTGACCAAAGTAATCCCTATCCACAAAAAGGGCAACGTAGATGATGTTGATAAATATAGACCAATCTCTATAACGCCTATTTTTGGGAAAATTTTAGAAAAGATTATGCTTAAACAACTTGAGGAATACGTTACTAAACAAAACATATTGAACCAACGACAATTTGGTTTCCAACATGGCAAAAGTACAACCATGGCTATTAATAGGCTTGTTGATGAGGTCATTACCTGTTTCGAAACAAAACAATTCTTAGGATGCACATTTTGTGATCTATCAAAAGCTTTCGATAGTATTAATCACAACATTCTAATAAACAAGCTTGAGTTGTACGGATTGTCAAATGGAGCCTTACAGCTTATTTTTAGTTTTCTCCACAATCGCCAGCAGGTTGTTCTGTTTAATAATGTATACTCCGAAATGACAATAGTTAACATAGGAGTGCCACAAGGCTCGATTTTAGGTCCGTTGCTCTTTTTGTTATACATTAACGACTTGGCTAAACATCTAGACAATAAAATCATACTTTTTGCGGATGACACTACTTGCTATAGTGTGGACTCAGACATCCCGTCTCTCTTGGACAGGATGAAACATGATATTAATGCTGCTAGTGAATGGTTTACTTCAAACAGATTAACGCTTAATGTACTGAAAACTCAAAAAATGGTGTTTTCCCTTCGTTACATTTCTGAGATTGACAATCCGAGGTGTGTCAAATTTCTTGGTGTGACACTGGACCCGAAATTATGCTGGGATAATCACGTCATTGATATCTGTAAAAAATTGCCCAAATCAACTTTTCTTATTAGGAATTTGCAATATGAGGTTAGTGAGCAGATCCTTATGATGATATACTACTCTTTATTTCAAAGTATTTTTAGCTATGCCATTATAACCTGGGGCCACAGCAGTCATTTAAAAACCGTTTTTAAATTGCAGCGCCGAGTAGTTCGAATTATTGGAGGTCTATCTTACAGAGCTTGTGTTAAAAATTATTTTAAAGAAAAAAGTATTCTCACCGTGCCCTGTCTTTATATTTTATATGCTTTATTATATGTGAAGTCTAATCTCACCACTTATAATAATCTCACAAATATGTCATTAATCACGAGATCTACCCATAGCATTCACACCGAATTCTATCGTGTAGGTAGAAGTAGAAATGCCATCAATTATTATGGGCCCAAATTATTCAATAAATTACCGAAACGTATTGCTAACTTACCTTTTTCGCAATTTAGCCGTACTATAAGAAATTTTTTATTAAAAAACGCATTTTACTCTCTCGATGAATTTTTAAATTGTAGCGATGTCCTGTGTAGTTTTTACCAGTTGATTTGAATTATCTTGTAAATTGCATAATTTTAAACTCTTTATATTGTAATTTCATCTGACTTGACTTATGTACCCTAACGGTCATTAATAAATACTTACTTACTTACTTACTTACTTACTTACTTACTTACTTACTTAATATTTCCATTTTTCGATTTCCTGCTTTTAGATTTTCTATTTTTCAATTTTTGGATTTTTCTCCTCTTCAATTTTTAAATAATTCGCTTTTTCGATTTTTAGCTTTTATAAACTCTCAATTTTTCGATTTTTCGTTCAATCGATGTTTTGATTTTCCCATTTCTTGAGTTTCGACTGTTTTGATTTTTTAGTTTTTCAATTTTCCTATTTTTTAAGTTTTCGATTTTTCGACTTCACGTTTTTGATTTTTCGATTTCTCAATTTTTCAATTTTTTTATTTCTCAGTTTTGGGATTTTTGAATTTTCCTTTCATTTTTCAATTTTTTTGGGGTTTTGATTGTCAATTTTTCAAGGTTTTGATTTTTCGACTGCATTTTTTTAACTTGTTGATTTTTCAGTTATTCAATTTTCCAGTTTCTCAGTTTTGAGAATTTGGATATTTCAGTTTTGAGATTTTTGAGTTTTCCATTCGGTTTTTCTTTAATTTTTCAATTTTTCGAATTTTCAGTTTTGGGATTTTTCAGATTATTTTTTGTGTATTCAATTTTTCGATTTTGCAATTTCTCAATTTTCAGTTTCTCGATTTTCAATTTTTCGATTTCTCATTTTTCTAATATTTCAGTTTTAAGTTTTTACGATTTTTCAATTTTGTAATTTTCTAAATTCTCAGTTTTTCGATTTTACAATTAATCCATGTTTTGATTTTTCCATTTCTTGACTTTCGACTGTTTCGATTTTCCAGTTCAATTTTTTTGGATGTTTCAGTTTTGGGATTTCCAGTTTTTCCATTCTTCAGTTTTTCTTTTATCTTTCAGTTTTGGGATTTTTCAATTTTTTTGACTTCTGGGTTTTTCGATGTGTCGATTTTTTACTTTTTCAATTTTTAAAATTTTAGATTTTTCGATTTTTCATTTTTCAAGTTTTCGAATTTTTCAAATGTTTTGGTTTCTCGATTCATCAGTTTTTCAATTTATAACTATTCGATTTTTTATTTTGGCCTATTTCGGTTTCTTAGTTTTTCCATTTCATTTTTTCGTTTTTTTGTTTTTACGGTTTTAGATTTTTCGATTTTCGAAGTTTTCAACTCTTGACTTTGATTTCTCGATCTTATGATCTCCCGATTTCTCAATATTTCAATTCTTCGAATTTTTCAGTTTTTTGATTTATCGAGATTTGGATGTTTCAATGTTTTGATTCTTCTATTTCTGGATTTATCAATTTTTCGACTCGATTTTCGATTTTTTACTTTTCGGTTTTTCGCTTTTACAGCTTTTCAATGATCCGTTTTTTTAAATTTTGGAGTCACGATTTTTCGTTTTTTCCATTTTTTGATGTTTCGAGTTTTCGATTTTCAGTTCTTCGATATTTCTATTTTTCGATTTCTTGACATCTTGGTTTTTCGATTTTTAGATTTCTCGATTTTTCAAGTTTTCGACTATTTTAATCTTTCATTTTTTCCAAGTATTAATATCATACAACGTATCGAAAATAACCACAAAAATTGTCACTAAAAACATTTAAAAATGACCTATTTTTTGTAAATTTGAGAATTGACAAAATTGGCGCCTTTAATCACTCAAAAAAAAAAATACAGTAAATAGCGCTAAATACTTACCATACTAATTTTTGAGGTTAGCAGTATCAATCAAATTACGGAAGCGCAGCCACATTTTGACATTTCTGATGCGCCATCTAGTGCCACCGAAATTCGCGACTTCCACGTGTATTTAAGATAAAACGCCCCCCTTAATAAGATTGAGTGACATTAGGATCACCAGATCAATATACCGCTTTTCAAGTTGGCCACCCTGGCACTTGATGAATGACTCACGTCACACCTAACCTCAAACTTCGAACCAAAACAAATATCAATGCAATTTCCAATCCTCAAAAATGGTTGATCTAAAAAAGGACCTAGACGAGTACCTACTTCTCCAAAGCGACCAAAAAAAGTCCTTCAAGCTCCAAATACCCACGATCCAGAAGCCCAACATCGGTAATTGGTTCAAAAGGGAGCAACCCCCAGAGGACGACTCTTGGTTCCAAGAAACGAAAAAAGGGTGCTGCCCCAGTTTGGTAATAACCCCGAACCCCAATTAACCCCTTTACAACCCGAAATTTCAGACGCGGTTTCAACGCATCGTGCTTTTCGGACTGTGTATAATCATGGGGATTTTGTGTTTCTCGCTGTCGCTAATGTACATCCCAGTATTGTTATTCAAGGCTCGGAAATTCGCCCTATTATTCACCCTTGGAAGTCTCTTCTTCGTACTAAGGTGAGTACATTAATAACGAAAATACACAATATTAAGTAAACTTTTAGTTTCTTCTTCTTGTGGGGTCCCCTGGCCTACTTAAAACACATGGTCTCGAAAGAGAGACTGTTTTTAACTCTGACTTATGGAAGTACGTTAATCGCCACTCTTTACTGCGCCCTGCATCTGCAAAGCACCCCGTTTACGGTTTTGTGCGCAGTGGGACAAATAGTAACTTTGTTGTGGACTGTGATAGCCAACATTCCTGGAGGCACGACCGGAGTGTCATTTTTCTCCAAAATGTTTTCCAGGTCTGTTGGCAATACGCTACCAATTTAGTGTTTTTTGATGTCAAAATTACTGTGCAAGACTGTTACCAACTGAGGACTGAACCCCCTGTATTGACGTTTCCAAAGTTGGCCTCACCAAAATTTACTATTTCTATTTCACTCTGTAATAGATGTTAGTCTAGATAATAAATTACTTTGTATTATTATTATTATAAAAAGGCAAATATTATACAATTTGACGTTACAAATCCATTGTACTAAAAACATCATCAAGCCCGTTATCAAAAATATCTTTAGTATCACCCAAATTAGTAAAACTGAAATTGAAAAACCGAAAATTCTAAAAGCGAAAATTCGAAAAATAGAAAGATAAAAAAAAATGAAAAACTGAAATACTGAAAAACCGAAAAATCGAGAAATTGTATCTAAAATTAAGAAAAAACCAAATATTTAAATGTTGAAAAATTGAATCTAGAAACCAAAATATCAAAATAATCGAAAAATTGGAAAATCAAAATATCGAAAACTTCCAAAATTGAAAAATCCTAAAACTGAAACATCGAAAACTTGATTAATCGAAAAATTGCAAAATCAAGAAATCGAAAAGCAGAGAAACCAAAAAATCGAAAAATTGGGAAATGGAAAAGTCGAAAAATCAAAAAATTACTAAATAGAGAAATTGAGGAAAGGAAAATTCGAAAATTTCGAATCGCCAAAAATTGAAATATTGAAGAATCGAAAAACTGAGGAATCGAAAAAATTGAAATTGTAAAATTCAAATTTCGAAAAATCGAGAAATTGAAAAATCCTCAACTAAAATGTCGAAAAATTGAAAAACCGAAAAATCTAAAAGCGAGAGGTCGAAAAATCGAAAGATAGAGATATCGAAACACCAAAAAAGTGAAAAACTTAACATTTGAAAATTCGAAAAACTGAAAATTGAAAACAGAAATACTGCAAAACCGAAAAATCGAGAAATTGGAACTAAAATTAAAAAAAAACAAAGATTTAAATGTCGAAAAATTGAATCGAGAAACCAAAATATCGAAATATCGAAAAATTCCAAGATTGAAAAATCCTAAAACTGAAACATCAAAAACTTGAGAAATCGAAAAATTAAAAAATCAAGAAATCGAAAAGTAGAGAAATCAAAAAATCGAACAATTGGGAAATTGAAAATTCAAAAAATCAAAAAATGTCTTAATAGAGAAATTATTGAGAAGAGGAAAAATCGAAAATTTCGAAACGCCAAAAATTGAAATATTGAAGAATTCAAAGACTGAAACCGTAAAACTGAAATATCGGAAAATCGACAAATCCAAAATTCGAAAAATCAAGAATTTGAAGAATCGCCAAATTGAGAAATCCTCAAACTAAGATGTCAAAAAATTGAAAAACCGAAAAATCAAAGAAAAATCCTAAAACTGAAACATCGAGAACTTGAGAAATCGAAAAATTTAAAAATCCAGAAATCGATAAATCGGGAAATCAAAAAATCGAAAAATTGGGAAATTGAAAAGTCGAAAAATCAAAGAATCGCTTAATAGAGAAATTTCGAAACGCCAAAAATTGAAATATTGAAGAATCGAAAAATTGAGGAATCGAAAAGTACAGAAATCAAAAAATTGAAAAATTGGGAAATCGAAAAGTCGAGAAATCAAAGAATCGCTGAATAGAGATATTGAGAAAAGGAAAATTCGAAAATTTCGAAACGCCAAAAATTGAAATATTGAAGAATCGAAAAACTGAAATTGAAAAACCGAAAAATCTAAAAGCGAAAATTCGAAAAATGGAAAGATAAAAAAAATGAAAAAATTGACATTTAAAAATTCGAAAAACTGAAATACTGAAAAACCTAAAACTCGAGAAATTGCATCTAAAATTAAGGAAAAACCAAATATTCAAAATGTTGAAAAACTGAATCGAGAAACCAAAATATCAAAATAATCGAAAAATTGGAAAATCGCAATTTCAAAAACTTCCAAAATTGAAAAATCCTAAAACTGAAACATCGAAAACTTGAGAAATCGAAAAATTGCAAAATCAAGATATCGAAAAGTAGAAAAACCAAAAAATCGAAAACTTGGGAAATGGATAAGTCGAAAAATCAAAAAATTACTAAATAGAGAAATTGCGGAATGGAAAATTCGAAAATTTCGTATCGCCCAAAATTGAAATTTTGAGGAATCGAAGAATTGAGGAATCGAAAAGTAGAGAAATCAAAAAATTGAAAAATTGGGAAATCGAAAAGTCGAGAAATCAAAGAATCGCTGAATAGAGAAATTGAGAAAAGGAAAATTCGAAAATTTCGAAACGCCAAAAATTGAAATTTTGAAGAATCGAAAAAATGAAATTGAAAAACCGAAAAATCTAAAAGCAGAAATTCGAAAAATGGAAAGATTAAAAAAAATGAAAAACTTGACATTTAAAAATTCGAAAAACTGAAATACTGAAAAACCGAAAAATCGAGAAATTGTATCCAAAATTAAGGAAAAACCAAAAATTTAAATGTTGAAAAATTGAATCGAGAAACCAAAATATCAAAATAATCGAAAAATTGGAAAATAGCAATATCGAAAACTTCCAAAATTGAAAAACCCTAAAACTGAAACATCGAAAACTTGAGAAATCGAAAAATTGCAAAATCAAGAAATCGAAAAGTAGAGAAACCAAAAAATCGAAAAATTGGGAAATGGAAAAGTCGAAAAATCAAAAAATTACTAATTAGAGAAATTGAGGAAAGGAAAATTCGAAATTTTCGAACCGCCAAAAATTGAAATATTGAAGAATCGAAAAATTGAGGAATCGAAAAAACTGAAATTGTAAAATTCAAATTTCGGAAAATCGGGAAATTGAAAAATCCTCAACTAAAATATCGAAAAATTGAAAAACCGAAAAATCTAAAAGCGAGAAGTCGAAAAATCGAAAGATAGAGATATCGAAACACCAAAAAAGTGAAAAACTTAACATTAAAAAATTCGAAAAACTGAAAATTGAAAACTGAAATACTGAAAAACCGAAAAATCGAGAAATTGGATTTAAAATTAAAAAAAACAAAGATTTAAATATCGAAAAATTGAATCGAGAAACCAAAATATCGAAAAATTCCAAGATTGAAAAATCCTAAAACTGAAACATCAGAAACTTGACAAATCGAAAAATTAAAAAATCAAGAAATCGAAAAGTAGAGAAATCAAAAAATCGAAAAATTGGGAGATTGAAAATTAAAAAAATCAAAAAATGCCTTAATAGAGAAATTATTGAGAAGAGGAAAAATCGAAAATTTTGAAACGCCAAAAATTGAAATATTGAAGAATTCAAAGACCGAAACCGTAAAACTGAAATATCGGAAAATCGAGAAATCGAAAATTCGAAAAATCAAGAATTTGAAGAATCGCCAAATTGAGAAATCCTCAAACTAAGATGTTAAAAAATTGAAAAACCGAAAAATCAAAGAAAAATTCTAAAACTGAAACATCGAGAACTTGAGAAATCGAAAAATTTAAAAATCCAGAAATCGATAAGTTGGGAAATCAAAAAATCGAAAAATTGGGAAATTGAAAAGTCGAAAAATCAAAGAATCGCTTAATAGAGAAATTTCGAAACGCCAAAAATTGAAATATTGAAGAATCGAAAAATTGAGGAATCGAAAAGTAGAGAAATCAAAAAATTGAAAAATTGGGAAATCGAAAAGTCGAGAAATCAAAGAATCGCTGAATAGAGAAATTGAGAAAAGGAAAATTCGAAAATTTCGAAACGCCAAAAATTGAAATATTGAAGAATCGAAAAACTGAAATTGAAAAACCGAAAAATCTAAAAGCGAAAATTCGAAAAATGGAAAGATAAAAAAAATGAAAAACTTGACATTTAAAAATTCGAAAACTGAAAACTTAATACAGAAATTGAGAAAAGGGAAATTCGGGAAATTTCGAAACGCCAAAAATTGAAATATTGAAGAATCGAAAAATTGAGGAATCGAAAAGTAGAGAAATCAAAAAATTGAAAAATTGGGAAATCGAAAAGTCGAGAAATCAAAGAATCGCTGAATAGAGATATTGAGAAAAGGAAAATTCGACAATTTCGAAACGCCAAAAATTGAAATATTGAAGAATCGAAAAACTGAAATTGAAAAACCGAAAAATCTAAAAGCGAAAATTCGAAAAATGGAAATATAAAAAAAAATGAAAAACTTGACATTTAAAAATTCGAAAAACTGAAATACTGAAAAACCGAAAAATCGAGAAATTGTATCTAAAATTAAGGAAAAACGAAATATTTAAATATTGAAAAATTGAATCGAGAAACCAAAATATCAAAATAATCGAAAAATTGGAAAATCGCAATATCGAAAACTTCCAAAATTGAAAAATCCTAAAACTGAAACATCGAAAACTTGAGAAATCGAAAAATTGCAAAATCAAGAAATCGAAAAGCAGAGAAACCAAAAAATCGAAAAATTGGGAAATGGAAAAGTCAAAAAATCAAAAAATTACTAAATAGAGAAATTGAGGAAAGGAAAATTCAAAAATTTCGAATCGCCAAAAATTGAAATATTGAAGAATCGAAAAATTGAGGAATCGAAAAAACTGAAATTGTAAAATTCAAATTTCGAAAAATCGGGAAATTGAAAAATCCTCAACTAAAATGTCGAAAAATTGAAAAACCGAAAACTCTAAAAGCGAGAAGTCGAAAAATCGAAAGATAGAGATATCGAAACACCAAAAAATTGAAAAACGTAACATTTAAAAATTCGAAAAACTGAAAATTGAAAACTGAAATACTGAAAAACCGAAAAATTGAGAAATTGGATCTAAAATTAAAAAAAAACAAAGATTTAAATGTCGAAAAATTGAATCGAGAAACCAAAATATCGAAAAATTCCAAGATTGAAAAATCCTAAAACTGAAACATCAAAAACCTGAGAAATCGGAAAATTAAAAAATCAAGAAATCGAAAAGTAGGGAAATCAAAAAATCGAAAAATTGGGAAATAGAAAATTCAAAAAATCAAAAAATGCCTTAATAGAGAAATTATTGACAAGAGGAAAAATCGAAAATTTCGAAACGCCAAAAATTGAAATATTGAAGAATTCAAAGACTGAAACCGTAAACTGAAATATCGGAAAATCGAGAAATCGAAATTTGGAAAAATCAAGAATTTGAAGAATAGCCAAATTGAGAAATCCTCAAACTAAAATGTCAAAAAATTGAAAAACCGAAAAATCAAAGAAAAATCCTAAAACTGAAAC